GAGAGAGAGAGAGTAAGAATCTCTTGCATCTATCTGAGTCAATAGATTATGCTATTAGATTATTAATAAGATCACGAGTATGGCAAGGATCTTATTATACTATTATAAAAACATTAAGAAACCTGTAGGTTTCCACTCTTTTACGTTTCTTCCAAACGGATCCCATCTTGTTAATATAATATCAACAAAGTATGATATATATTATCTGATTCTTGATTGGGATTCATCAGCCTCTTCACTTCTGAGTTCTGAGCAACAATGGCTGCAATGATCATCGTTGACTATCAAAACTGTTTCATTTACTTGCTCTTGTGTCTCTTTTCACTCCTATGTTACTCTCTCTACTTCAAGAAACTAAAGGACCCACGAGACAGTGATCTTCCTCCTAGCCCTCCGTCTCTTCCAATCATCGGTCACCTTCACCTTCTCCTCTCTACTCTAACCCACAAGTCTCTTCAGAAAATCTCCTCCAAGTATGGACCTTTCCTACATATCCGGATCTTTAACGCCCCCATCACCCTCGTCTCTTCAGCCTCAGTGGCCTACGAGATCTTCAAGACCCACGATGTGAACGTCTCCTCTCGTGGTCCTGCTGCGTTCGATGAGTCCCTTGTGTTTGGATCTTTTGGCATCGTCAGCGCTCCCTATGAAGAATACTGGAAGTTCATGCAGAAACTCATGGCAACAAAGCTGCTCCGACCACAGTCACAGTCGCTTGAGTGGTCACGAGGTATCCGGGCTGAGGAGCTTCAGAGGTTTTACAACAGCCTTCTCAATAAGGCGAGGACGTCAGAGAGCGTTGAGATCAGTAAGGAAGTGAAAAACCTTATGAACAACATCTTGTGCAGGATGATCATGGGAAGGAGTTTTTCAGAGGAGAACGGTGAGACAGAGAAAGTCAGGGGATTGGTGGATGAATCATATGGCTTGACAAAGAAGCTTTTCCTGGCAGCTATACTTCGCAGACCGCTTGAGAAGCTTCGGATCCCCCTGTTCAAGAAGGACATAATGAGTGTTTCCAACAGATTCAATGAGCTGCTAGAGAAGATTCTTGTGGAACACAAAGAGAAGCTATGCGAGGAGCATCAAGGTATGGATATGATGGACGTGTTATTGGCAGCTTATGGAGACGAAAACGCAGAGTATAAGATCACTATGAATCAGATCAAGGCTTTTTTTGTGGTAAATGTTCCTCAGTATGTCGATTTCATTTGAGGAACCAAACGAAACTTAGTTCTAACTAAATGTTATGAGTATTCTCGTTGCAGGAGTTTTTCATTGGTGGCAGTGATACCTCAACGCAAGCAACACAATGGACAATGGCAGAGATCATAAACAACCCTAACGTTCTTGAGAAATTGAGAGAAGAAATTGATTCAGTTGTAGGGAAATCAAGGTTGATTCAAGAAACAGATATACCAAACCTTACTTATCTGCAAGCAGTGGTTAAGGAAGGGCTAAGATTGCATCCACCAGTGCCTCTCTTGGTAAGGTCGTTCCAAGAAAGCTGTGAGATCGAAGGGTTCTACATACCGGAGAAGATGACACTCATAATTAATAGTTATGCTGTGATGAGAGATGCTGATCTTTGGGAAGATCCTCTTGTGTTTAAGCCAGAGAGGTTTTTAGCTTCTTCAAGATCAGAGAAAAAAGAAGAGAAAGAGCGAGCACTTAAGTACCTTCCTTTCGGAGGGGGAAGGAGAGGATGTCCTGGAGTAAATCTAGCATCTATATTTGTTGGAACAGCTATAGGAGTGATGGTGCAGTGTTTTGATTGGAAAATCAAAGGAGATAAGGCCAACATGGAAGAGACTTATGGAGGAATGAACCTAACAATGGTACACCCGCTTAAGTGCACTCCAGTTCCTCGAACCCAGATTCCCAGTTCCTAACACTCAGCTGGGGGGGGGAACATGTACAAGTTTGCTTTCTTCTTGCTTAGGTGCACTCCTGTTCTTCGAATCTTTTAATCTGTATGGAAGATCGGATTTTGCTTTCATATGATGTAATTGAAAGTCAAAACACTGAAATAAAATATTGCAAAAATTTGCTTACTAATAAGTAGAAAGTTACATGACACGATTTGGGAGACCTAAGAATGTCAAAGATAAAACTAGTGTTTGATTGATCAGAGGACTTTGGATCTCCTAGCTAGTAGCAATTGTATCATTTATCACTAAACCATGAACAATTCGAAAATAACCTTTATACTACAAAATTGTTAATGATTTTGACTGTTTGTGTATGATCATCAACACTTTTGAACACGATTTTTTTCTGTAACTTTTTCTAAAATTTATATTTGTGACAATGTGATATATCTGTTGTAACACTGATTACAGGTCTGTGATCTTCATCGTATAAAAGTCCTATAACCAAACCTGTAAGCTTAAAGGTTGAGTTCTCTAGTTCACCACACGAATATAGATATAAGATTAATAACAAAGGAAAATGATTTAATTAATATTAAGAACAAAAGAAAATGATTTAATTAATATTCTACTTGAGAATCTTGAGTGCGTTTGCGATTTCCCATATTATTCCAACGTTCTGATTTTAATCTGAGAGTTGGTAAAATATGACCGTTAAGAAACGGTAACATTTTGTGACCGTTCGAATTTATATTAATTAAATGAAAAATATCAAACATTTGTTGACCATATATGAATTAATATTAAAATGAAACAATGAACTCTATAAGTAGTACAACTACTCTTCACTTCGGACACAAATCTCTTACTCATAAATTTCTTACAAATGTCAAGTACACTCTGTTTTTTTTCTATTATTCTCTTAGTTATGTTTCTTCCACATGAGTTCTCTTTCACTCAACTAATCAACTTGTCTATCCGAGAGAAGCAAACATAAAAAGCATCATCTTACAGGTAAAATTATCATGTTCTAGTTCCTCTAGTTTGTTTACTGTCAAGAGATTCTTGTTAGTTCGTTATCTTTCAAACCTTTTAAATCAAGTTAAACAACACATGATGCTCTGCTTTAGTTATATATCATGCTGTCTTGCGTTAAATTCAATGGTGTGTGATCAATTTATATTGTATGGTTTTCTGAGTTGTATATGGATATTTTTTTTTTTTTTGATAAAGAAACAAATTGTATATATGTATATGCTCTGTCTAAGGAAACATAGAAAGGGGTTTTTTTTTTATTTTCGTTAACAACAAAGAATGAAGTGTTTAATTCGTCTAGATGATTTATTGATCTTTTTGGATTTTTTTTGAAGTAACGTACTAATAGTTATATGCATCTTCTTGATATATTTTGCAGAGGAAAAAACAAAGCCAGCCTTTGAAGTTTTCCAGACACTGACTGAGTTTCCCGTCTTCTGCTTGGAAGTTACTCCTAGACTCTGTATTTTTCAGATTTTATTTTCGGATGAAAGATGGATGTATCATTTATTATCTAAAGAGTATCATAGATATATGTGTAGAGCGTAGATGTGTATGTGTAGATAATGTAGAGCGTAGATGTGTATTTGTAGAGTAGATCTATCATAGATGTATGTGTAGAGAGAGAGAAGGAGAGAGGAAGGAGAGAGAGAGGAGGGGAAGGAGAGAGAGGGGGGAAGGGGAGAGAGAATCGTGGCAACGGTTGAAGCCAGAGATGTTCTCTGTCTACCCGGATGATATCAATATTGATAGGGAATAATTTTCATCATTCTCTTATTCCTAAAAATTTAAATGTCATCAAGTATGTAAACAACTGTCCGTCGAATTATCTCATTTGAATCAGTTTGTTTGATTATTGGATGACAAAAAAAAGTATTCATTCTAAAAAAAACTAACAAAATATAAATTAAATATCAAAAATTCAAGCATAGACTACTATCAAAACCAAAAACAAAGTCATAAAACAACATTAATATAATATATCAATTTAATTTTGATACAACATTAAAATAATATAAATTACAACTTATTTTATATTTTCACATATGTTAATTAGTTATCTCATAATTCTCTTAAAATGAACTCTAATGTCAACTTATATCTTTCATAATAGATGTGTGTGTGTATATATATATTAAGTAAGTAATCATGATTGTAAAACAATGTAACTATAAATTAAAATGCATTACCTAAAACTAGGAAAGATCTATCAAATTCAAAATGATTAAAAATCACTTAAAAGAATTCTTCATAAAATGAAATTGATCATGTTTATTGATATTTTTCTTTTCTTGTTCAAAAATTGATTTCTTTTTCTTCTCAACTACATCTGACTTTATTAACTTTATAATGGTGTTAATAAGTACACAAAACAAAACAAAAATAAAGAGAAATTAAAAAAATAATATATATATATATATACAAAAAATCCATAGGTAACCTGTTAAAAATGGGACCTGTTCATTTAAGCCCGTTTTTATTTACTGTATATAAACTTCCTGGGTTCCGGGTACCCATTGGGTTTTTACCCATCATTAACATCCCTAGTTGAAGCGGATAAAACCCCACCGCAGAACCGTCTTTTATTTACCAGTTTTTTATTTTCTTTTTATATGCCAGCGGTAATAGACTTTATTTACTATTTTTACATATAAATAAAGTCGGTACACAACAGAGAGTACACCCCTAAAAATAGTTGGATTTGTCCACAACCTTCGTAAACATTCAGACCCTAAATCAAAACCCAAGGCAGCACATCCAAAAAAAAATGCACACAAAAATGATTACACAAATGTTGGAATAATTGTTCAAGACTGTAAAATAATCATGAAGATCAAGAGAACTTCAGCAGCCGATCAAAACTTAAGTGGATCTTTCTTCTCTTATAATGAACTCGTGACTCTTTTGTCTATTCCATCTATGTCATTAATCCAACTGCCTTTGGGTGTTTGAGCTGTGCTCTCTCTTGTCGATAAAATGAGATAACAAACCCTAAAATGCTTTAACTTTAGACACAAGAAACAATTTTCCCAATAATTAAAAACAGAAACAATAAAAAAGTCTTATAATAAAACCTGTAATCAATAAAAGTTAAGAACGAATTCCATTTCTAGTTCATACACACTGCACACAAAAAAAGATATATATCATTTTGCTCATTCAAAGAACATTAGGTCAGAGAGAGGAGAGAGAGAGAGAGAGAGAGTGCTTAATTAAGAAATTTATGTTTAGTTAAAACTGATATAAATGTCGTTAATGAGAGCCAGCATGCAAGAGGATGAATCCTATGAGCATGTTCTCTCTGTTTTGTCTCATTTAATTCCTCTCTAATCAACACTCCCTTCTTCTCTGTCTACACCATTCCTTGTTTAACTTAAGAGTAAAAAAAAGATCAGTCATCATCTTCAAAATCAAACATATGTTCAGATACAAGCACCCAGAAAATCAACATAGGTGCAACTCAAGGCCTCTTGTTTTGATGGTTTCAAAAGACAGATGAAGATTAGTTCTCTCTGCTTTGGATTTTTAATGGAGAAGAGTAAAAACAGAGAGATGTATTTAAATTGAAGAAGGCTCTTTTTTTTTTTTTCTTTTTTTTTTTCTTATCTCTTTAGACTCTTTTGTCAAAAATGTTTTAGGATCAAATTAATCTCTTGGCCTGTGTCTTCGGATCTATCATGTATCTACCAATACAAGAACTTGTGATCTCATAATCTGTTTTAGGATCTCTTTTGTCTAATATGTTAAATGTTGAATCTTGAGACACTTTTCGTTAATCCAACTCTGTTTTGGGTGGTTTAGTTCTCCAGGAAAATGAGATAAAAAGCCCTAAAATGTATTAACTTTAGGCACAAGCAACATTATATCCCCAATTTGTAGATAAACAGGAACAATAAAGAATATGTAAGCTATAAAGGTTGTGAGCAACTGAGTTTCATCTCTAATTCAAACACACGACACATCAAATATAAGAATTTTAGGATAAGAGAGAGTGTTAGTTAAGGATTGATGCTTAGTCATAAACTTATATGATGTTCCCAATGAGAGCCAGCAAAAGGATAATGAAGCCTATGGTCATATTCATGAGATAGATACCAGATTGTGATGAGGCAAGGAAGTGTATAAGTATAAGTATTACCCAACATCACAAAAGGTTAATTACAGGTTTAGTTGTTAAGGAAACTTCTAAGTCAAGTTGAAGCTTTTACACCTTTGACTTCGACATGAAACGGTTTTCACTTTCTACGGTATGATCATGTTTTAGAGTTAATGTACTTGTATTATCATGTTTTAGAGTTAATGTACGAGTATCATCATCTTTTAGTGTTAATTTATGAGTATGATCATGTTTTAGTGTTAATGTATGAGTATGGTAATGTTCATAATGATTATAGGATCTTGAGATTTCTTTAATCCACTTATGATTAGGTTCCATAAAGATGAATAGGTAAAAGCTCTATTTACCCAAATGAGGTTTTTTACAAACCCTAAACACATTTGACTTTAGGCACAAGAAAGACCTATAATATATACATACAGGATTGATAACAATCGAGTTTCGTCTCTCGTTCACACACACACACACATCTATATATTATTCAAAACATTCAGAAAAAAAAACAAAATTTGAAAAACCCAAGTTGAAAAAAAAGAAAGGTGCTTTGATTGATCTGCTTTGCTTCTCTAGCAATCAAATCTTCATCAGCTGGTTCAAGCTTTGACGTTTAGTAAAGCCGATGTGATCATTCCAATGAGAGCCAACAAGAGAATGAAACCTATGATCTTCATCTTGTGGTTTCTCTCCATGGCTTCCTCTGTAATAAACCACCCCTTCTTCTCTGTCTTCATTATAGGTACATCAATGGCTTTTGGGGTTCCTTGCTTTACCTGATAAGGAAATCACATATAATCATTATCTTAACATAATGTTTTGAGATTATATAAGATATAAGTAGCACCAAAATCAACATAAGAGCAACTCAAGACCTCTTGTTTTGATAGTACAGCCCGGGTCTCTCTACCGGTTGAAGGATCTTTGCAAGAGTCCGTGCTTGAGCAACTTGAGAGGCATCTATTCGAACTACCATCACTATCAACTGGACTTGATGTACTTGGGTAACTCTGTCATATAAGAATGAATTGTGAGAATAAAGATTACTCCATCAAAGTAATGATTACAAAAAAGAAAAAAAAAAACTAGTGATGTGCTTTACCGTTGCAGATATGGATTCAGCATCGCTGTCACTATCACTGCTATAATCAGGAATAGTCCCTGACAAAGGTTTTGTTGCCGCGTGATTGTTGCGGTTCTCTGTCATAGATAAGGTAAACAAATCTTTAACCTGCCTTTGACAAACATTCATCAATCCATCGATAAACTCATTATCACTAGGGGATAAGTGAGGAGCTTGTGGCTGCAAGGAAGTGTTAGTGTTGTTGATGTCGTCGCTGAAGAACGTGTCTGGATCATAATATTCATCCCACTCAGAGAGATCCTCATTTGGGTCTATCAAATCATCTAGAGACATACCAACAAAATTATTTCCACCTGCCTGCTCAACCTGAATCTGGAAAAAGAGAAGACAACAAGTAAAGACATAGGTGGACAGTAATGAATAACGAAACATGTCAGAAACTAGACTCACCGCAGGCTCAGGTGCCCTGTTACTCGCCATGGCAGTGTTCGAATCGAAGACCAAAGAGTGACTTGGCTCAGTCATGTTATTACCATATGAAGTGTGAGTCAAGTTTTGCGGTAATCCACTCAGAAGCTCATCATTTTCTTGGAGTGAGAACGGAGCTTGTAGCTGCACATAAGGGCTGTTGTTTATACTGTTTGGATCAGATCCACCCATCTGTTCATTCATTGGTAACATCAAATCATTCTCATACAAGTTTCCTTGACCTGGCTGCTCAACCTGAAACTGTAAAGAGGCAACAAGTAAAGAAACAGCTCCATACTAATGAGTAGCAGAAACTGGACACTCACCACAGGTGGAATTATGCAAGTCAGTCTGATAGTATTGGAATCAGAGACCAAAGAGGGAAGACTTGGCTCACTCGAGCTATCACCATTTGAAATGTTTACTACCTCTTTACCGCCCCTGCCACATACGTTGCAGATAACATAGGAATCCTGAACAATATCAGAAGCGCATAAACACACATAAGTTCATAGTTTCACTAACACAAAGATTAAGCCCATCTACACAAAAATGGATACTTTTGGCATCTAACACTGAAAAAAATATTTTTTTAGACGATTTAACAATTTGATCTTACTAGTGACTTGCTCAATCTAACAAGTAAAGACATAGGTCGATAGTAATGAATAATGAAACATGTCAGAAACTGGACTTACCGCAGGCTCAGGTGTGTACATGGCTATGGCAGTATTCGAATCAAAATCCAAAGAGTGACTTGACTCAGTCAAGTTATTACCATATGAAATGTCTTTAGCTTCACCCTTATACTTTACTTGGCAGATAACATAATTTATCTGGAACAAAATCCAAACGTACACACATAAGTTCTTTGCCAGCAAAACAAAATCAATCACAATTCATAAGAAGCAAAAACACTCTTGAAAACAAATAGAGAAACTTTACACCACACTAAAATAGAACGTAACCTCAAAACTGAACTAGATTGACATATTACTTGGCATATATAACATAACTTCTCTAAACAAACAAAACCGAACACACAACAAAGTTAGAATTGTTACACAAACGCAGACCTCAAAAACTAGACCACATGGGAAATAACAGCTAACGGTTAGATCAGTATAAAGATGAGTCAAAACTCACCAAGTCAATGTCAACAACAGATGATTGAACATATACAAAACAAAACAAAAAGCTCTGAAATAGTAATACCTGAAGATGAGGCAAGGAAGTGATGTGATACTCATGCATAACCCAAGGAGTCCAAACTCCATTTGGAACTTTACCTTCATAGTACATAAGTGTCTTCTTGAGACCGATCTCAACACCGCTCTTATCCCTGATTATACGATTTTTACCAGTAGTTTTCCAATACCCAGAACCTGTGATTCTCTTCATCTCTTTCTTCTTCGAGTTCGTGTACACAATCGGAGAGAAGAAGTACCATTCAGGATCCTTTGATCTGATCACCGCTAAATCTGCAACCAAAATAAAACCCTCAAAATTAGAAATGATACAGTTGATAAATAACAAAAAGACAGAGACAGAGAGTTCTTTTACCAGGCAAGAGCTCGGGTATGTAGCTCAAGATGTTGATCTCGCCAATAGCTTCATGAACGAGCCAAGTCTTACCAAGATTCTTGTTCTTCAGGTAATCGTTTATTAATTCCTCACCCGTAGGACTAAATCTATACCCAATCAGATCTTTCACCATGTTTTTTGTTTTTCTTGAACTCTGTTTTTTCTTCAAATACAAAGAAGGTGAAGTGATTGGTGAAGAGAAACACAAGCGAAGTGAGAGATATTTATAGCTCTTGTTAGTTTCTGTTTATCAAATATCCATAAAATAATATTACTACTTTCTCAGGAAGTAGAAGTACGTGGCAAGTAGTACTCGTCGCAAAACTTAGAAAAGATCTTTCGAGAAGTTATTATAGTCGCCGGTGATGACAACATGATGTTATTATTAGTTTATTAGACCACATGCATTTGTGAACCTTTAAAAGAATGCTTAACAACATTTCATTAATAAAAATTGATTAAACAAAAATGTTAGAAGGAGAAAAAATTACAGAAAGAAAAAGAGATGAATATATTTTTTACCAATAAGTAATTGTCATGTGTCTTTAAGTACCCCTAAACACAACTTCTAAAACCCCTTAGTTTAGGCTCCCTCTTTATTTAATTGTTCAATTTTGATTTGTTTTTTGTCCACAATAAACTTATGAAACTCACTAATCACCTCCCTTTGGAGGTGCCCTTACTCTCTGGAATATATATAGATACTATATTATTTACAGAAGAAAAAAAGAAAATCACAATTATTGTTCTCCTTTGTTGGTAAGGAGAAAAAGGATAAAAACAAATATTTTTGGACAAAATGTATTTTATTTAAGAATACACTTACCAATCTGAAATTGAGAGATTCGACATATATGACAAAAAAAAAAAAAGAGAGATAATAACGTACGTTTTGTATCTTCTTGAAGCGATGATGGTTATTTATGACAAACTCAAGTCTCATGTCTCTAGGCTATAGTCGTTAACCTCATGTCTCATGTCTCGCAAAGTCTCATGTCTGTAGTCTCTACTCTCTAGCCTCATGCCTCTCTTACAATAACGGGTACCTTAAAATTAATTATCTCTAACTAAAAATTGTAAATAAAGCTATAAGATTATCAAACCAATAAAACATTGGTTTAGAAAATAAAAATTCAAACGTTGTTGCTACAACGGTAACTTTTGCTTAACAGTAAAAAGGAAATATGTAAATGCTTGACAACGGTAACAAAAGAAAAGGAAAATATTAATAAACCAACAGCCTCTTTAAATACAGCCTTTTGCTTAGCTTTCATTACAGAAATCAAAATTCTCGTTCTTGAGCAGAGAAAGTTTGTAAGAAAAAAAAAACCCTAGAATCATCATCATCCTCTCTACTACTTTGAAAATCTATGTCTGAATCGATTCAGTTGCTCAGAGAATCTCTTACAATCGGAGTGATGAAGAAGATTTGGTGACAAAGTCTTTATATGAAAACGATGGGAAACTTCGCTATGGAGAACTCATCGATCAGCCGAGTCATCATCAAAAGATTTGCTCTGTTTATTCTTTGCGGTCTCAATGTTAATTTGAATACAACCATGGGGCTTGGGCTATGCGACTAACGTTACTCTCCAATCTCTGGCCGATGCTCTCAGGTTTCATCTCTATCTTTCTCTTTATGTTGTCTGTTGAGTTTTTCAAATGGTTTGTGAGCAGTGAATGAGACTCGTCGTTAATCTTTCGTATTTTTTTTTTTTTTCCCCTGTTTGGTGGCTTCAAACTGGATTACGGCTATCTGCTCTACTCGGGGGTACGTGGGAACGATCGTCTATCTTTAAGTCCGTCCTAAACTGCAGGTATACTACTTTCACTTTCTTTATTTTATTTTAGATTAAAAGTAATGACTATGTTGTAAAAAAAAAAAAAATGTAATGACTATGATTTCTAAAAACAAAAGAAAAAAAAGATTTTATGTTTTTTTCTTTTTCACTTCTTACTTTAAAACTAGTAAACTACACATCAAGGTTTTTTACCATATGATTTTTTTATTTCATGTTGACTAATTATTTAAAATATTTTTTTTCCAAAAACAAAAAGAAAGGTAAGATTTTCGTTTTCAGATTTTGAAATAAATGTAATGACTTTTTCCAACTGTTTTTTTTTCTTTAAGTAAACCGGTATAAATATATTATAAAAATATGTTTTAAACTTAAGTATTAAATTTAAATATGTTAAAAACAAATCGGACTTAGCATCCCGTCCCTTTATTCGGGTCCGTAAGTTTGGTATATAAGTTCAACATGTTTATACTTATTTAAATTTAAACTTTAATTTTAGTTTTCCACAAATAATATTTTAAGTAAATTCTTTAATATTTATACTTGATTTTTTTTTACTATACAACATGGTTTTTTATTAACAAAATTTTCCGAACTTAAGTGTCTAATTTAAATATGTTATAAACAAACCGACTTAGCATCCCGTCCCTTCTTTCGGGTCAGTAAGTTTTGGTGTATAAGTTCAACATGTACAAATAATGTATTTAAATTTAACACTTAAATTTGATTTTAAGTTTTTTCCAAAAATAATATTATAAGTAAATAATTTTTGTATTTTAACTGAATTATTATTTTTACTATACAATATGCAAAATATTTTCAAACTTATGTATTAAATTTAGATATGTTAAAAAAAAACTGGACTTAGCATCCCGTCCCTTCTTTCGGGACCATAAGTTTTGATTTCTTTACTGAATTTTTATTTTTACAATACAACATTTTTTATATAATATATTCTCAAACTTAAGTGTTATAAATAAGTTAAAAAAATACTGGACTTTGCATATCGTCTCTTCCTCTGGGTCCGTAAGTCTTAGTGTATAAGTTCAACATGTTTATACTTAATAAAATTTAACACTAAAACTTAAATCAATATTAATTCTTTTAAGTAATTTTTTTTTAACTTGAAAGCTATTTTTTGGTGAAATGATTTTAACTTAAAAAGTTTGACTAACCAAATATTTTTATTTTCAAATACTTTAAGTGTAAACTTAATTACGCTAAAAATAAACTTATAAAATTTACACACATATTACCTTTACTTTATATGTGTATAAAATATACACACAATATATACACAATATACACACAAATTACCTTTATATGTGCATAAAATATTATATATTTTCATAACTACTGTGTATTTGCCTTATACAAACTTTTTAAAAACCAGATTTAAAACTTTTAAAAAGTTATAAGTTATTTAGATCTAACCTCCCATTGATAGTTATTATCTAGAATTACTTTATAAACCATATAAAACTTTATAATTTTCATATTTAAACATGTGTTATTTAAAAAATGGATAGACAAAACGGGTATTTCTCAAAAACTTTCTTCAACATGTACACCAAAAGGGGTATTTTTTGCATAACTATTTTTCTGTAAGTATTGTAAATTGAAATAAAACTTCATTTTAATATTTTGCACAAATATTTTTTCACTAATTAATTTTAACTAAAGTTTTTTTTTTATTATACCATTCTTATTAACAAAATATTTTTAAAAATTAAGTGTTAATTTAAATATATTAAACAAACAAACGAACTTAGCTTTCCGTAAGATTTGGTGTCATATAACACTTATTTTTGAGAAATACCGTTTTTGGTGTAACTCTTTTTAAAAATACCTCTCTTTCCCATTTTCAAAAATACCCCTTTTCAAATATGAAAAATTATAAACTTTTCTATGATTGATAAGGTACATCAAAATCATCATTACTACTGGGTGACTAAATCTAAATATTTAGAAAGTTTTCAAAGGTTCTAAACGGCATTTATATGGTTTTTAAAAGGTTTACAAAGTTTTTATAAGGTTTTTATATGACTTTTAAAAGGTATTTATACGGTACTTATGAAATATATATATATATATATATAATTTACACACATGTAAAGATAATTTGTGTCTATAAATATAAGTTTATTCATATTTTTTTGATAAATTTCAAAATTTATAGTGACTTTTTGATAAAAGTAGAAAAATGGGTATTTTTAAAAAGTGGTATTGGAAAAATTGTATTTTTGAAATTCCCCCATTTTTAATACGTTGTCTTTTATTATAACTAAAAAACTTAAACTAACCACAAATTTTAAGTATTAAAAGTTAAAAACAAACCAAACTTAGGGCCCCCAAAGAAAATATACTTTCTTTACAAAAACTGGGCCTCTAAGATACCCTCAATAATGTTGGTCTTAGACCATCCTCAATGCAAGCATCTTAGGGGGTATTTTACCCTAAGATTTGCATAGAGAATATAAGATCCTTGCATACTCCTAAGAGCAACTCCATTGGCAATTGCTTAATGGTTAGCTTAAGACATTGCCTATATTTATTGCATTATATTTAATGCAAAATCAAACACTTTTCATAAGCTTTGTTGTCTAAATTAACTCTTTAAGCAGAATTTATTTTAAAAAAGTTAATACAAAAAAATAAATAAGCACCCACCATCGGAGGTGGTCTAAGTTGCTTGCATTGATATGTTAGTTTGGTGTCATAAGTCAACATCTTTTGATATGTTAGTTTAGTGTCATAAGTTCAACATCTTTACAAGTTTTGGTGTCATAATGTTTTTAATTGTTTTGTTCTTAACTAAAAAATTTGACTAATCAAAATATTCAGTTTTTAATACGTTGTAAATAATCCGGACTTAGCATCCCATTCTTTTGATATGTTAGTTTGATGTCATAAGATCAACATCTTTGACTAACCAGAATAATTCATTGCTTGCTCATTTTCCTCTTAATGTTTTTGAATGGCATTTTAGTGATAAGATTAAAAGGCAGGTCTAATTTGCCAATGTACCTCGAATTTGAAACAATTAATTAAGTTTTAAGGTTTTTTTTACCAAATAATTATTTTAAATGGAAAATTGATTTGATTCCTAACAAAAATATTTTGATAAACCATCTCACCAAAATATTTTTTAGTTCTAAATTCTAAGTATCACATTTTAATGCGTTAAGAATTAACTGGACTTGGCATCATGTCTTGTTGATCCATTAATTTGGTGTCATAAGTTTAACATATTTTTACGTATTATAAATTAATGATTAACTAAGTTTAGTGCTTTGTTTATATCAATTTGTTGTTTTAACTATTTACAAAAGTTTTGACCAACCAAAATGGTTTTATTTCTAAAAATTAAAAAATCTACATGTTTAAAGTTTAGTGCGTTGATAAAAAAAAAAAAACT